ATAATAGTCAATCAGCTGCTTATAGTATTATCTTTAAGTGTTGCCAACCTATTTACAAGCGTTCACGGATTACGTGCATAATAGAACCACGCTGTTTTGTGTTGTTTCGTTGGAATCCTGATGTGCGCCAAAGTATAAACCGTACGACAAAGTAAAAATATACAGCAATTAGCAGCTTTCTGTACTATAAACAGTACAAGGAAGCCAAATTTGTCGGGTGACTGTAGGAAAAGGACATTTTTATGACAAAATTACAAATTTTTCGAGACGTTTCGGGACCTGGAATCTGACCACGTCGTCAGATGAGGGATTAACTAAATCAACAAGATTAGTGAACAAAATCGGTTGAAGCTGGAAAATCACGATTTAAAAGCCACACAGATAAATCTAGTAATCAAACGAACCCCCTTAAACACTGTATAAAATATGCAATAAAACAAAATAAAAGATTCTTGACACAAGAATTAGTACTATCCTTAGTTTAAAGTTCTTTTTGGTGATGGTAAGTTTACGTTTTTAAAATGATTAATACGGATACCTATTTTTCTTTACAAAAAATAATCATCCACCATCATGGGAAATGTCCATTTTGACGCTTTTTTTAAATTCCTAAAAAAGTAGAATCGTTTTGTAACTTTTCATTTAAGCCCGACAAATTTAATAAATAAAAATAGTACTGAATTGGGACTTAAATAGAGGGATCCTCAATTTGCAAATTGTATAATCATTTGTTGGCCAGAGACCTCGAATTCCAAAAATTACATCTAATAAATTTCAATTTAGACCTAAATATACAATATGTTGTAGCAATTTATGTTACTATCTATTGCTAAAGATTTTGTCAGTCACGTTCAAACCAAAGAAATAGCTAAATACTCAAATGTCGCGACGGAGCGAGTTCAAGTCATTAGAATTGTTACCGGTGCCAAAAGATTAGATTATTGTAAATCTCTGTTCATAGAATCTAATACCTATATTAACTGTTGTAAATCTGTATATTTATGAAGTCTCCACTTTTGTGAAAAAGAACTCAAACAAACACGTTTTACGAGGAAATGTCCATAGCCACTTAACAAGAAATAGAAATTTTATTGATGTAAGTAGAGTAAGACTGTCAAGATCTCAAAACTATCATACCCACTTGGGGGTAAAAATATTTAACATGTTTCCAGTTGGTTTTCGTACATTTGCCCTTAAAAGAATTTTCAAAAAAAACTGCTCCCTTGGTGTAAAGCCAATCTTATGTACAAATTAAGTGATTTCAATTCACAATTTGTAAACAAATATTTAAATTTTATAGTTGTTTATAAATAATGTTTCTATTGTTTAGATTGACGATGTCTATTGTAATTCTTGTGAATTATAATTAACGACTAATAAACTTGTCTATTGTCTATTGTCGGAGTTACTTCATCCAATATAGCCTACATTTTAACTGTTCCCTTCCCCTCATTATTTACTTCCATGGTTAACACCTAAATGTGACAATAATAATTATTATTAGTCAACCAAGAAAATTGTTTAGTAACAAAAAAAAACGTAAAAAATCAACACTCCCGCCAAATATGAATCGCATTCTGAGACTGATTAAATTTCCGCGACCGCGATCGGTGTCAGCCAGTTGACAACATTATTGTGTTTATTTATTCAATTGTATAATCCGAATATAAGAAGTGCCTGCGGAATTCGAACGGCACCACCACAGGCACACGTATGTATGTTGGTGTGCGTCGATGCAATCGAAGGCGTTTGCGTTCTCTTCAGCACTGTATACACACTATATACTGAAGTAATATATAGTCAATGATAGTAATGCACCGACATTATTTTGAAATTATGACAGATTGTATAACAACTCTCGGTAAGAATTGTGTTAATTTTTACTTAGGTTGAGATGGTATAAAAGTCGATAAAAAATCATAGGTCTAAAATGGCTAGCTTTCTGTCAATATGTCTGTCTGTTTTTGGGGGTTTTTAATAAATAGTAGCTTTCGAATGCTTTGAATTGTTGACTTAAAACTTAGTAAACATATAGTGACAGGTAGCAGATTTCAAAATTGTTTCAAATTAAAATGGCTGCCATTTTGAAAAAATTATTTTACAAAAAAATATAAATAATAATTTTTTTCTGAAATAATGTTATGACTAACCCAACAGTGTTTAGGATGACTAAATAAGAATAAACAACTAATATATTTCAATTTTTGTGGTTCCGTGTACAGTATATGCATTCATGATGTTTGAATTTAATCCTATTTTTGTTTGAAGGAAAAAACTGCCATTAAAAAAACTGCAATTATCATAGATTATAAAGGATGTTTATCATTTTCCTTTTTTATATCAATCCATATAAATTATACATCAATCCATTGCTACATTGCTTATTCCAACTTTTGCCCTTCAGTTGGCTGGTGCTCCAATGTCAGTTATATTTATTTACACAACTGTACAAATAATTATTCATCTCCAATAAAAAAAAATAAATAAATAAACAGTATCAGCAATCTGACACACACTTTTTCCCATTTTCTTGGTGGGAGTAATTATGACATATAGGGAAAATCACAACAATTGCAATAACTTTTGAACAGTATTTGTTACAGCAATTTTTCTTTGGAATTATAAGGACACATTAAATTGAATAACATATTAATCTTAATCAAAACCGGGTTTTTCTAAAATCTGACTTTTTGTTATTTTATGTTTTTTTTATGGGGAAATAACATAAGTTACAATAACTTTTGAACCGTAATTTTTACAGGAATGGGATTTGTACAATTTTGTTCAAAATTTAAGGGACTATAACATACTAAACTTTTATCATAATCGCTCAGGCCATTTAAAAAAAATCCGATTTTTACGTTATTTTCTGGTTTTTATGGCAAAATTACCAATAATGGCCTAGAGATACACTATGGATTAGTGCCTACATACCAAACATCATCAAAATCAGACAACAGGTGTGGTCTGTAGCTCTGTACACATCCACACAGACATCACTTTTCGGGTCGAGGGGGACCCTAAATAAATATATATCAACTTAAAACTAAAACTCTAAAATTTGGACGAAAACAATACTTTCTCCACATACTATGGGATAGGGGTAGAAAGTAAAAATGATACTAGCTATTTCAAATCAGGCAATCCAGGTTAAAATTAAAATCTATTTAAGATTCATCCATTGCAGAGTATCTTGTATATGGATAAAGAATTATTTATATTGTAAATTCATTTCATACAGTATGTATATGGATTCATGGCATTGCCAAACCAATTAATGTTTGAATTAAAAAATGTATATATATTATCACACTGATTAAAAATCAGGTAATATTAATTTGAAATCTAAAAAATAATTCATGTAACCCCACCTGTTTTTTTTCTGAGTATCTGTTATCATTACATACAGCATTTAGTTTCAAATACAAAAAGATTATCCTTATCGGCCCCTTGAAATACAGGGTGTTTTTAAAAGAATGCCGGGATTTCAAACTGTCGTTGCTCAGGGACTATTCAAGATAATTAAACGATTCAAACGTCAAATTGAAGGGGAAAGAATAAAGTTTTTTTCTCATTCATTCATACAATTCGGAACGATTTAATAACATTCAGATTTTCATCAATCTTATATGAGCGTAAAACTGTCAAAGTGTGTACGCTTAGGGCGATCGGCAACTTTATCTGATGTCTTAACTAAATCTTTTTCGGCACAAAGACTCTATCTTTTATAGATAACAACATAAAGTGACCAATTTAGGTCTTTAAAACTGAATACTTCGTCGGGCAATCGATTTTTTGGGCTTATGATGCAGAAATGTCGGATTTCTTCGACTATGTCATCGTTTGTTTTTAGCCGGCCAGGTGAATGTCTTTTCAAAACACTTCGGTGCCACAAAACTCATTAAACCAGCTTCAAGTTTCTTTATCATCAAGTAGATTTAAATTTACTTTAATTTTGCAATGGATATAACCTCTGCGAACTACAGATTATAATCTGTGCCTTCTTTTGCGCCGTAAACGTCGCACTGGCGACTCCCGTCAGGCATATGAGTCACAATAGCGGCCTATCACGCCAAAACTGTTTTACGCATACCAAGGTCAAAGTTTCCTCCCTTGCTGCATGGGAAACAAAACTTAGTTATTTTAGCTTCAATTTGACGTATAAAACGTTTAGTTACCTTGAATAGTATCCAAGCAATTACCATTTAAAATCCCGGCATTCTTTTAAAAACACCCTGTATATTGATTCTTCTCAGAACCAGGTTATGTGCTCAATGCTCGGGTGTCCACTCTTCTCTTTGTTGTGAACATAGTTCAGCAATTTTAAACTGAACATATTGTTTCCAGACAGAACTTTCATCCATTATGTTTCCATTACGTTGTGCTTACACTTCTCACAATTGACAAATTTCTATGGGTTTTAAGTTTAGGATCAAAAAACTGCTGGTACCTCGCAACTACAAATGTTTTCATGGCAGCACACATTTTATAATTTTATAACATAAATATGAAAATAATTATTGGCAGCACAACGACACTTCCATGGTGACGGCTCAACGGTCGTTGAGTAAGCAAACAGGTCTTTACTTGAAAGTGTTCAATGGTTGCGAAACCAAAGGGGTCAGACGGATACATTCCTAACTTTCTGAATATTCCTTGTATTACCAAACTGTTAAGAAACTAGAAAATAATAGCATTAAGCTGGGGTTCTAGGCTCGGAAGTGTAGAGCGGAGTCTGCTCTCCTCTTGTCTTAATGAAATTTAATTTAATTTAAAATTGTTTTATTTTAGAAGGGAAGTTAGGACAAGTCCTCTACCACTAGGAGAGGAGGAGTCCTCTCTACCGAGTATTCCCTTAGGAAAAGTACTGTTTTCCTAAAAGGGGAGCAGAATGAGACCGGACGAGTGGAAAATCGCTTCTCTGTACTCCACTTCTGCGCCTAGGAAAACCTTGCTATAAAGGGATGGAAAGAGAATCAAGATAAGTATAAATGACTATCACAGAAATATTTATTGGTAAACACAGGCTCTGGCTTTTTGACACGAGTCTACGATGACAGGAATAAGATCAGATGGTGCGTGTAGACTGGACTGTCCACTGTACGTGTTTATTAACTCCACACTGCAACAAATGCAATCATCAGTCAATGTAAATAGTAGATAAATTGCGAACACTGCCTATTCAATGGTTAAATTTATAATAACTTGACTAAAATTAATGTCTCAGTGAATTTGAGAGATAACAACGATTTTTTTGTTATAAGAAATGTTTTTTTATTTCTCAAGCTCAGCTCGAATCGGCCTATTTTCTGTGAAATACCCCAAATTTCTGTAAAAATCCAAATTTTTATATTTTTAATCATCCAAATGTGGTATAGTTGAAAAATTGATTCTGATAATTGGAGTTCTACTCGATTATTAATTGAACAAGTAGGCAGACGAGCCACTCACAGAATATGCTACGGTATAAAATTATACTTTTCTAAACAATTTGATCAAAGATATACTTAAGTGAGTACCGTGGGTCTGATTGAGCAGCTGCTTTCCCAACCACCAGCACTTGAGGGTAGCCTGTCCGTCGGGCGTCTTCCACTCTCCGACCGATCGTCATGTGACAACGATCGTCAATGACAACATTGTCCTTCAACTCTGCAACTTCCTGTAGAATCCAGTAGATCTCTTCTGCTAATCTTCCTGTAGCCATGCTCTCTTTACTTCCATCCTAAAAAGTTGATAAAAAAGGATTAACAACAGCAATCGAATTTAAAATTAGTTGATTGACAACTTAAATGTGAACGTCTGATGTGAAACCTAAAACGTGAAAAATTAATACAAAGTAGACTCCCACCTATACGAACAACTTTTAACCGGACTACACTCGGTAGGAGTGTCATCTCTTTAACTAGATAATTTTTATCAGAACAACTGTTTAACCGAACTGTATCGGAAGGAAGTATGCGGTACTGAAAGGACTTTTCTCATGAGAAAAATTTGAAACCAGTGATCACGTGTATAAATACAGTGCTCTGAAAAATCTAAGTAAAATATTTATGTTGGATTAAGTGATGCAGGAAATGCAATAAATAATATATTGCAGCTGTAAAAAATTTTAATAGTTGTTTCTTACATATAAAAGCTAAAGGACATCTGATGTTTTGTGTTTACAAGTAACTGTCCCAAAGTGTCTATTTTTACTATTTGTACGTAATAATCCTCATTGGCTTCTATAGTATGGATTAGAGGTTACTGATTTAACAAGTTATAGGGGACGTCGGTTAATAAGGTAGTGTTCTGTAATTATTGTTGGGGGATTTGTCTTAGCTTATGCGTCCAGTTACAGTGGAAAGGAGGGTTTAAAATCACAGATTGTTGCGTACGTAATTAAGGGAGGCTCTCTCGTACCCTACACCATGCACTACTACATGTTCCACTCAAATGTTTCTAATTAATAAGCAGTATTCAAATTGATATCCCCAGATTTTACAGTTAAAATGCCTTTCAATCAATTGATTACTAAGTTAAAAACTTGTTGGACCTTTGGAGGTACGATGCAAAGAGTGTACGGTGCGAGGACAGCAGGCCATCTCAGGTGATCCTCGCCACTCATCACCTCCAAAGCAGCAGCCACCAGGCGAGAGAGACCGAGGCCGTAACTCCCCATGACCAGCGGGGCAGAGTCCCCAGCCGTACCAGTCACGTACTTGGCTTGTAGGGCAGCCGAGTACTTGGTGCCCAGTAGGAATGTGTGGCCAACCTACAACAACAAATACACAAGTTGTACTCAATAACTCGTTTATTCAAAAGTGATATCAAACATTGCATGAGCCAAGTCAACCTAGTAAATTTAACTATTGACACAGAGAAATAAGATACAGAGGTCTCGGTCAATGGTCAACTTAAGTGGTGTCTAGCACCAGTCGCTGCTGTCTAGAGCGAATTCTATTCGTCATCCCCTCCCGCTCTCCTTTCCCCCATTGCTGTCACGTACTACAGCGCTCACGCTGTAGGAAGACCCTGTGAGCTACAACTTCTGTACAAAAATAAAAACGCTATGTGGCCATCCCCGTTGGAGCTCTTCCTTGCTCGTTACAAGTACATTTCTAACCCAACCTACCAGAGCTAAAAGCGCATAGATGTCCCAAAAGCTTGTATCCTCTGTATCTTGAATCTTTATGCTATTGACTTACTCATTCATTAAATATAAAATCAAAAGACACTGTCTATCAGTGACAAATGATCAGACACTGTAATACCATTTATCCATCAAAAAAACTATAAGTAACTTTTGAAGAATCCCAAATCTGAGGACTTTTTTAATGGGGAAGAGCATTGAAAAATTGAATGGCACTAAGAGTGAGACGTCTAAGGGGTTTGAATGTGCTGATATTCTTAGGTTAGAGTTATGAAGAAGCAAATATGATTGGGTGGTTATGGTATATAACCGAGTTCCTCTGGAATATAAGTACAGGGAAATGTTAGAACTTTGCAAGCACTATTACCACTCGGCTACCCTGACAATCTATTGTATGTTCTTTTTTAACAAAAATAGGCTACGGCCCACACACCTCAATGCCCTTGGTTTGTGTAACATTATGGCTGCCACATTTGTCACAGTTTGTTTTGCCACTCTCACAGTTCCAGCTGTGACTACATTCGCCACACACTGCGAGTTCATCGTCACCAATGTCTGCTGGGTAATGAAACTCGTGGGACGTCTCTCCGCCCATGATACCACTCACTCCGACCACTGAAACCAACATTTTTAAATTGAAACTGGGATTGTTGGGGGAAAACAATTAGAAGAACAGTATGATGCTTTAATGTAGATCTTTGTTAGCTTGCTGGTCTGGTGTTAGAACAAAGGGGCTTCGTTCCCATGTTCAAATCCTACCAATTACCAATGTATTTTATCCAATTGATGATGATGCTATTTACACCTTTTGAATTATAAATGTTTTTCTGTAAGGTATTGGTTCCAAGTTCATCCATTTGTTAGATGGCATCGATAATTAACAATTATCAGTTAATTTATATGGGCGCCACCTATGTGCGCATTTCAACCCAAATACAAGTTAAGGATGAGTGTAGAATGGTGTGAGATGATCTGTGTAGCTTTGATACTGGCTCAGATCAGCTGTTTCATTAGCCAGGATCATTTATTTAAAGCCCAATGATCAAGAACATCTGGGTCCAGTTTAGAATCGTCAAAACAAAAAGCTACTGTAGACTTTTCTCCAGGTCATTGATAGCCCTATGACAAATGACATCGGTGTCTGGAAACGATCTCGCTTGGAATTAAACCAATGACTCCCAGATTTGAAGGTGAGCTCTTTAACCATTCGGATACCCAGAAAATTGTTCTACGTGTAAAATTGTACTCAATAATATTTACCTGAAATATTTAACCTAAGTTTCCTTGATAATTAACCTGAAACACCGGTATCTTAAAACTAGGTAGCCTACGATCCAAAAGATACAGCATAATATATTTACATTAAAGATTTTTCAATAAAACATTTACCTTTCAAATATTGCACTCCAATAGTCTCGAGTATCTGCTCATAAGCCTGGGAAACCAGCTGATATGAGGCTTTGGCGGTTTCTTCGCTAGTGTCAAAGCTGTAGAGGTCATTCATAACAAACTCTCGCGCACGAATGAGACCGTATCGTGGCCTCATCTCGTCTCGGAACTTTGCAGTCGTTTGGTAGACAAGCAGCGGAAGACGTTTGTGAGAAAAGCCGGGAGCCGAAGCTAGTAGAGCTGCTACGCTCTCTTCATGAGTCTGTGTGTAAAAAAGGGGTCAAACAGCTGAACATATCTTGTCAGACAATCCTTAACATACGAGTAGGGACGTAATAAATTTGCTATAGGCCTATGTTTCAGCAGTTTCGAGTCGCTTATGCGAATTGATCAATGATCAGTGATGTAGGCTAAATAAACCTTACCGTAGTGCTTCACATACACTGTAGTTCATAGAAACGGTTCGTTTCTAATACTTAGGCCCGGTTCACACAAGCGAATTATCTAGCTGACTAGGCTGTGACTAGGTAAGCCCGGCTGGGTAGCGGACCACAGGATACACCGGTTCACCTGAGCGACATGTCCACGAACTAGATGAAAATATTGATATCAAAACCACTCGGATCCATCACTGGTGCACAATGAGAACAAAGGGATGAATACGAGCTGCAACGCGACTACCCGATCGCTCGTGTGAATGCTCCCATAAGGCCAATACTGCTGTGCTAAGGTGTACTGCTACGCCGCTAGAGCGAGTGACTGGGTAGCTGCCATGAGTGACTGGGAAATGGGGCCCGACTATGTTTTGGGACACCAAACTTGAACGCGGCTAGCTAGTCGTCGCCCTACGCTCGTGTGAACAGCTCCATTTGATCCTGTGGTCCGCTACCCAGTCGGGCTTACATAGTCACAGCCTAGTCGGCTAGATAAGTCACTTGTGTGAACCGGGCCATACTTTACTTTGAAATGGTGACCATACGAAAGTAGGTATTTCAAGAATATTTGTGTATATTCTCTAGACTGACTAAGTTAGACTCTCGTGACTAAAAGACTAGATCAAGAACAAAAGACAACAGACAAAAAGTAACTTAAGTATAACAAGATTTAGTTGAAACTGTGGTAACACTATAAACTAAGAACTTGAAAAGTTTTATCTTTTACCTACAGGACTGAGAATAAAGTTTCTCCCATGTCGATCCTTAACATGAAGTATTTCAGGTCCCACAGCTGCCAGTCTATCTAGAACAATACAAGATAATAAATTCGCTTATTTACAACTAATCCAACCCCTTACTTCATAATTGTGTGACAGTTGACCTAATCCATTATATCTATCATCAACATATGCATGACAAGAGGCCTAACAGCATTTCAAGGATTGTATTGAAATAAATATTAATGTTACCTTCTGGCAATTTAAGTTTTTTGTAGATTACTTTGCGTTTTAACAAACAGTGTTATCATCAGGTAGGCCTAACCCACTTTTTCTTCGACTTCAAGGCTTTAAATCTGGTTCTCAGTTCATTATATCTTGGTTTTGTAGTATCCAGAATTAATCATGTGTGTACACGAGATGAATCCACCCCGACAACATTACCGATCGGTTGTTAAATGTAATTTTATGTGTTGTGTAATGACTGTTTTATGATGTTTTATTCAGGACGAAGTGATAGCGGATTACCTAATGATGTTAGGCCTACTGTGTTGCCAAAACGTGTATTAATCTACAACAAACTTGGAACGCCAAAAGGTAACATTAATATTTATTAATATTTGACGTTTCAGTAGTAAATGTAATGAAATCTAGTGTAGGAAATTAATTGTAATTGGTTTGAAAATCCAAACAAATGGATAGTCCAAACTACGTCTGGTCCAGTTTGTTTTGAACTTTGGTTCACTAACTTAACTTACTTTTAAACACTAAAAGTGAATTAGGTACAGTCTAATTTATTCAAATGGCAACAATGTGTAATAAACATTTTTTGGCTGATCAAAATGTCCCAAATTCACAATCTTATTGTCAATAGAATTTTTTGAAATTTTACACTTTTGATGTTTAATGGATAAATTACAACTACAGTGTTTACCTGTCTTTTGCCAAAGTTCCGAAGGCGTCAACGTTGGACAGATAATCTTCTGGGCTCCAATGTTATTCAAACTGTTTTCCACCAGTCTCGTTAGTTTGTCTAAAGCCTTGACTCCCAGAGGCAGCATGTAGAAAAGTCCCGTGTGACTGTGAGCTATGATGCCTCGGTCCATCATCAACTACGGACATCATAACGATTACCACAAGAATCTTTAGGACAAAGTATATTGACATGACCATTAATTCCTCACGTGGAAACTTTATCTAAGTACTTTGCCATGTTATGAGGAGGATAAAACAAAATGGAAAGATGAAGCGAAGGACGCCTATTTCTCCCTTTTTGGATCCCATTAGAGTACAGAGGTCTCGGGAAACCATTGCATTCAACTCAGAACTTGTTCTCATTCAAAAAAGAGGGCATTTAATCAGGGGCGGACTGGCCCGCCGGCCCACCGGCCAGTGGGCCGATACGCCTTCTCAAAATTCCAATATTTGCGCCCTCGTTAAAGGAAAAATTCATAACAATTTTTAAAAAATGAGACGAGACGTATTTTTAGAAAGCAAGAGGAGAAACTTAGAGTAAAAGTTTCAGCAGTGAATAGCAAAACATAAAGTCGGGTGTGATACCTGAATAGACACTATCGACAAGCGAGAGCAAAGCAGCTCTTCTCTCTCGTACGTGTAGGCCTACTCCGAGTGGAAGGCACTTTACTCTGTGGTCTGAGCTACAGCTGTCCTCTTCCCGCGTTATTTTACGCCGAACCCAAAAAAAAACTGCACTGTGACTGCAAAAAACTGCATCCGACCCGACATCGGTCGGTGTCACGATGTCATGTCGTCTGTGGTAAACAACTAGTGAAGATAATTTAATATTATTTCATATTTGTTATAATATTTAATTATTGCTCACACTATAACTATTTCACTTTAAGTCACATTTAATTTTTATCAATGTCAACTCAACTCTCTTGTAAAATGGCGTTTGCCGTGCATGTAATAAATAAATAAAGAGTGTGAGCTGCCAATTAAAATGTGTCTCTCTTTAGTGAGTGTCTGATTTGTGTCTCTCTGTCGTAAGCTTCAATTTATTTTTATATTCTTTACCTACACAGGAAACATGAACGAAAGTAGTATTGTAGTATCAATACTTTTACAAAATTTAAATTAGATTTAGTGACAGTGTATATTTGTTAAATTAACCATTACACAGTAAAGGTTAAACAGTAAACAGTATTTTAATATGTGGCTATCGCCTATTAACTAATTACTAGAGGTCGTCCAGTGGTCGAAACTCGACCAAAAATATGTAATGTACGGACTTCTCTATTTTCACCCCATACTGTAAATAAAACATGTGATTGGAGTTTCTTACATTTGTTTTGATTTTCTGTTTATATTTCGTTGTTATTTCGTCACCAGCATGGCAACTCATAAATATCCATGTTAATTTTTTCAAAATTTTAAACTCATTTTTGTTCTTATTTTGGGCCTATTTTAATTTATAAAGGGATTCTGCACATCTACAGGAAAATATCTTTCCAACAGTATGCGTAGATTTTCCTTGTGATGTACACAAGCTGAGAAAAAAGGTTTTAAAGAAACATGCTTACCTATTAATATATAGATAGATTTCAATATGCACTATGGCACTAATTTGGTCAACTTTCCTATTTTACTTACACATAGACAGCACAAAATACCTTTCTTAGTTTTCTCTAGGCTATGGCTTCCATTTTGTTTGTAGAAATTGGTTAGGTAGGCCTACTTTAGGGTTACAGTTTTGACTTAATGTAATGCTAAAACAGTTTAAGTCAATAAATTGGTTTGTTCACAGTGAAACCGTATTGTTTGTGTTAAAATAATTTCATAGAAATCTAAAATATATAACTTCTGTTAATTACAGTGCCAACAAATACAGCAGTTGCAGGTTCAGGTTGTAAACAGGAAGCACATGATTTATATTGTATGCATGCAGCCAAGTCATGCAAGGGAAAATAGTGAAAATACACAAATATAATACGAAAGAACCTAAGAAATTCATTTGTATTTTTAGTTTTGTTAGGATATTTACTGTCAGAATAGCGCCAAGTCGTGTGGGTAAATAGTCTAAATTTTGTAAACCAAACATTGACCAATAGTGTCAATTATCAGATTTCTGATTTTCCACTGTTAATGCCTCTAGATTGCCTAAAAATGCGAGTTTACAGGTATCATTTTTAAAAAATTTCCCCCGGACCCCCCTCTATACAGGGGGGTATTCCATACCCCCCAGACCCCCCGGTGTGCGCCTTCGGGCTGGTCAAGGTTTACGCCCTAACAGTGTACCCAGTCCGCCCCTGCATTTAATTTGTCACTAGCTCATTTAGGTGCCTATTTGGCAAAAAAGCAGTGGACCTTTCGATGAACTAAAAGTACTGACTCCACATATATCAAAGCCTAGGGCAGATTAACTGTAGATATATCAGATCAACAAACATACCTAGGCTTTCAATGATCTCATTCATTAGTATAGAAAAGTATCATGTTAGCCTCAATGGAATTTTGTTTAAGCCATTGTATCATATTTAAAAGTATTTTGACAGCACAAATAGGGTTTCATTTGCTATCATAACCACCATAAAATAAAATTTGCGCAAATAGGTTACATATTGTTCTCACTTCTTTTATTGAAGTTGAATTGAGAAGAAAATGTAACCTAAACCACTGCTGCTTTTGCTTGATACTATCTAATAAAAGGCCTTTTTGTTTTGTTTAGATATCTCATTATTTTATTGTTTGGTCTCTTAACATGTTGGCTACCACAACAGTACTAACAGTACATGCAACGGCCAGTTTCTATCCATAGACTTCCGTCGCACGTATGCAACGGCTGGTCACATTGAAATAGACTAACGTTGCATATTTGCGTCGGTGTCCCAATATTATTAAAAAGCTTTGTAACTGTCTATTTGAAGGCCCTGAATTCTCCTGCAGTAGTCTAAAGGGATGTCTGTCGCATATGTGCGTCACTTGGTCTGTGGATATAATGCTTAGTAACATCATATTGTACCTAGTTGGCAAAACAGTTTTTTACTTTGCTGCATCACTGGCCCGTGGTCTGCGTGTACTGTTAAACAAGTGACTCCCGTTCTATGTGTAATTGAAATGATACCTCGGTCCGTGGCAATGACTGCAGCGTCACCAATACGTAGCGATCGGTAGCGAAAGTGTTAAACTCCACGCTTCCAAACAAACTAATCTAAGTATAAATGAGAACACAAAAATGACAAAAAATTCAAAATTTAACTTTAACTTTACTAATCTGATTGCAATCAGGTTCATCACTTAATAAACCGTTAAACCTACTTTTAGGCTTTTAGGAAGCAAATCATTCTTCTTCACTTCAGCTCCTCTTGGTACAACAGTTGTTGGTTGAAATAACTTTGAGAGTTTGTGACAAAACGGCATCCGGTTGACCATCCTGAAACACAATTTAAATCTGTTGTACTTAAAATGCCTTCACTGACATAATGTTCAATGGCATGCATCATTAACAAAACTAATTAGGTAAAACTAAACAACAGTTTAACGTTCACTTGTATGATGGTGGCAGATAAAAAGCACTGACCTAGTACAAACGTGTCAAATTGTATCTTAGGATTAAAAACTTGTTAAAAATCCTACTGTAAACCGATAATCACAGCTTCTTGAGGAAAAGAAAATCTCTGGCATAAGTTAAGCATAATATTAGTACAGCTCCGGTGTACCGAAATGCTAAATGCTTGAACGAAATAATATGGAAGTTTTTTTTACAAAAGGGCTGCACTTTACGTCCTACACTCATTCGAATGAAAATATAGATCGATATATCGATTGTTTGATATATATTATTTGATTAGTTAGGTAACTTAAGGTTAACCTAACTAACCAACCGATATATCGAATGAAACAATCGATAAATCGATATTTTCATTCGGTTGAATGAGTGTAGGATATAAAGTAAAGTGTAGCCCAACTTATTAGTAGCCTAGTTTAGACAGTAAACAGCTAAATGCATTATTTTTATCTTTATTTATAAGTATAATGCTTAGTTTGTTTTTTTGTTATTTCTAATTTCTTGTAAGTTACCGTAGCCTTACTTATTTTTGACAAAGCCAAAGTCCCTCCAATTTAAGGTTAACTTAAATTAATCTATTGTCTAATAACATATAAAATTAAGAACTTAGAATTCTTAATTGAGCTATGAAAGTGTAGTGTAATAATAAACGCAACTAAATGAAAGTATTCCTTATTATCTTTTATCGTACTTAGGCGACTTAGGTTATAATCCAGTAAATATACAAGACAAAGACATCAGACTAGGCAGACGACACACGACCACACGACACAACCAAACCAACAACCAACAAACAACAAGCAATGTTACCAATGCAATGAAATGAAAACTAAAAAACCCTGCATAACTTCCAGGCTTTCTTTTCTTCTTCTTCGCGTCATCGTCGTCGCTAAAAGAAATCGTCTGTACGTCTGTTTGTTTTCTGTTTTGTTTTGGTTTGGAGGTTAGGTAGGAGTGTTCTATTAATCTGTAATATTATTATTATTAGTTATTTATTATAAAAAGAACGGCGATACATCCGTTTTCATTTTATTAGGTAAAATATTTTAATATGGAGTTCATTACTGACATATATGAATGCAGTTCTACATTGATAGAAGATTTTAACTCTGTTGAAAAGAAAATTGATGGAGACTTAATAAAAAACTATATTAGAGAAAGAACAAACTCAAATGGGAACAAATTACCAAAGGATTTCCACATAGGTAGGTATATAACGTTTTATAGCTTTCTCTGTAGTATTAGTCGTGCCTTAATTTTCTCACAGATGAAATTGATCATCTCAACCTATCGAAGGTGCTTTATTCAGATTTTTCGGATTTATGCACGCCTTAGTCAGTTATTGTAGACCTATCTAGAGACCTTCAATGAGAGCGTTCTGGGAACACTGACCGGTGCACCGTTACATGTTCCCAGAACGCGCCCAATGTCAATGTTGATCAATACTGATCCGTGTCATTTAAGATTGGCCCATCATTACCATTAACAATTGAGATTAGAACGCCACCTAAGTGCGTGTCAACTTCAGTATCCAATAGGTGTGTATATGTCAAAGTTTGATACATTTTGTTTCAACACTTTTATAGTAGGTAATACAGTAGAGTCTCGCAAACTAGGTGTAATGTGGACTGGAAGGGTGCCGAGTTTGTGAAAAGCCGGGTTATCGGGAACTAGGGTTAAAAATAAGAACAGTAACATTTTTCAGCTTTTAATCCACCTTTTTTATTTGTATTTATATTACAACTCAGTATAAAGTCGTCAGATATAGGCCTAGTACAACAAATCCTTGGTACCTACCTTACAAATCAAAAAAATGTATAGCCTACTGCACATACATATTTAACCCAAAAAATCAATAATTTTCTGAGCGAGGTGATAGCCTAGTTATTCAGACTGCCGGATTATCGAGTGCCGAGTTTGCGGGACTCTACTGTTACTGTTATAGATGAATATTGTTCCGTTAAATTTTGTTTCTTTAGTTGAAATTTTTTTATGAAAACAAACTGCTGTTTAAGTAGGCCTAGATTAACTTATATCCCTAGGCTGAAAGTGATATAGGCCTACTGTAATGTTAGACCCAAGCTATTTTGATCTGTGATTTGTATCTTTTATCTCACTATGAATTCAGATTGTACCACTTTTGCTAGGGATCTATTTTCCAACGAATGATTTTGTTACCGGTAGAAAATCTGTTTAACAAAACTGTTTTTATTTTAGGACTGGATTGGATAAATACCAGCAAAGCTCTATCATTTGAAAAGGAACTGAAAGGAAAGGTCGTCGTTTTAGATTTCTTCACTTATTGTTGCATTAACTGCATGCACGTTTTACCTCAGTTAAAAGAACTGGAACATCAGTTCAAAGTTGAAGATGGTTTAGTAGTGGTAAGTGCATTGGCAAACTTTTGGTACCGGTAGGTGTAAGTTTATATTTGAGTTTTCCTAGGCGGATAGCGGAGTTGGCTCCCTGCTCGTGAGTTGTCAGCTAGCTGAGTTTTGTCTTAAGACGCAGATTTGTCATCTGGCGAAGAGCGGAACGATTATTTGAATACTAGGAGTAGGTAATGAGGTGAAGTCAATATAGACACAGAATATAGACCTTCTTGGAAGATATTTTATTGCACTTGGAAGAGGAGGAGAAGGAAGAAATGGAGTGAATAACAATCACAGCTGCATTTAGTTATGGAGAAAATATACAAAGTGACACACTGAAAACACATGCAAAATTTGGAAATGAGTCTGTGTTTAAAGTTTTAATCAAAAACACTAAATTTTATTTTATGACAAACTTTAATTCTAACAGGTTTCTTTGATTGGCCAAAAACAATAATTTCTTTTAATGTAACTTAGGGTTTTTCAGAAATTTTGACCATTTTATAATGTGACATTCGCTCATAGTTGAAAATAATAAACAAGTTGTTAAAGTGCAAGTTGAGAATAAAAACTGTTTAACATAATGTCAGCAATGTACTAGAGAACAAAGGTTCTTTTTTTCTGGTACGAGTTTTAGATTAGCATTAAGTTAAATTACAAGGTAACTGATTTGATTTTTGACAGATAGGTGTTCACAGTCCCAAGTTTGCCAACGAACACTCGACTGCCAATGTGAGAGCTGCGGTGGAAAGATACGAGATAACTCATCCAGTTGTGAACGACCACAAGGAACACCTTTGGGACAGTTTGGGCATCTGTTGCTGGCCTACGTTGGTCGTGGTCGGTAGGTAGATAATCTGTACAGTACTTATAACTTATGTAGTTCATTTTGTTAGGAACTCATCCCTCAGTTTCCAGCATTTTTGAAACTATTTAGCATCTTTACAGCCATTGACTTTTTAGACATTCTGTATATATGGACTAGCTGTAGCCTAATTTTCATTCAAAACAAACATAGCTGAATAAGTCACTTACAGAATGAGCTACAGTCTAAAATTGATTTTTTTTTCACCTTTTTTGTTACTGAGATAGTTGGGACATAACAATTACTATATATGATGTCAATAGTGTTATGAAAGTAGAATATTGCTTGTTTGAATATTTTAATGATAGCATTGGGCATTGATTATTGATTTGATACTGAAGTAGAAAGATCTATTTGGACCAGCTGTAGCTGATTGTCAGTGGCGATCCCAGGGGGGGTGGGAGGGATATCCCCCCCCCTAAATATTTATTTTTGATTAGCTAACATAAATACTATAAGCGTGAGCATGTTTTAGAGTTCAAATACGTTTTTAGGCTTAAAATTCCAATTTTTTTCTGGAACCCCCTTTTCTCTGGGGGATACATATTCAATACCCCCCAGACCCCCGGTGGTCATCCCCCCCTCCCCCCGAAATGAAATCCTGGGACCGCCACTGCCGATTTTTTATTCAGAAAGAATTTAAATGAGCCCCTCACAGAGCAGGCAATCATATTAACATTTTGTCTTAATTTAAAGTTAGCGTATTCAACCGAAATCAGAAATTGACTCTAGTACACTCTATCTCTATCTTAAATCAATGTCCATTTTGATTTAAAAAACTAGCAACAACTTTAACATGGGATGGAACATCTATCAAAATTCAAAGTTACAGCTCTACAATTTTCACTAACAATTTGTTTGACTTGACATTTCAGCTAACTGTATGTTATAGGTCCCAGAGGTGAACTTCTTCTGTACTTGATGGGCGAGAGTCATGAGAACTTATTGAAAGCTTTTGTACTAGAGGCTATCACACTGTTCAAGGACCAACAGCGTATCTCGGACCATTCAATCAATGAGATTGGAGCGAGCAAAGAATACAAGAAGAATGAAGAAGTTCTCAACTATCCGGGCAAAGTTTGTGTGATCGAGAATGGCTCAGGTAAACTGTTGGCCGTAGCAGACACAGGAAACCACAAGGTGTTGGTCCTGGACCAGTGTGGGAACATACAGGTAAGCCTCCATCACTGTTTATGTTCAGATTAGATATGTATCGTAGCGTCACAAAAATTATTGAAAATGTAAATAAAACTAGACCCTAAACGTAATTAAATTACAAGTATTATTCTGCCAATCACTGCCTTTACTGTCAATCAATAATAAGTCAGAGTCTTCTATATTGCTATATGCTCTTTTCTCCATATTGCCTTTGATTAGGCCTATTGTTTTATTAATGGGAAAGGATATGTCAAAAAAATAGTTAACGGTGGAATCTCATTGAATTTGAGATCAGCATTCTGCTAACCTAGTTTGCCAGTCCTCCAAATTTAATTCATGTGATTGAATCAACCTAGGGCCTGCTGGTAGAGGTTTCGTTTGTAGAGAATGGGCAAGACGATTACACCTAAGATTTGTTAACGATCCAAGGTGGTTTATGAATCCTACAACTTATTAGTTTGGAGACAATTGTGAAAATGTTGGGCTTTTTTCATCCTAGGGGTTTTAACTGTTAGCATCTTTCTTTTTAGAAAAAAGTTCAAGAAAACCAACATACGAGAAATCAAACTTTTCACGTTTCACTAAAGTAAAGATAACGCAATCTGTGTTCTGTTTCAGTACATTATTGGATGTGGAGTTAGTGGTTTGAGAGATGGAAGTTTTGAGGAAACTCAGTTCCATGCACCCCAAGGACTTGTTTCCATCGATGAAAACACTGTATTTGTTGCTGACACAGAAAATCATGCTATAAGGAAGGTGGGTTGCTTATACGTCTTTACTGCACAAATATGTTACAATTTGATTAATTAGAACTAGAAGTTAGGCAGAAATTAGCAGATTAAAAAGTATATGCAAATATGAAGTTGCAGACTTGATTTATAGATGTTAATTATTATCTTTGTACCGTATTGATCAAGGCACATGTAATATTAGATTTAAATTTTAATTAATTTGAGTAATAAATTATTTTCATAATTTTATTACCCACTCAAATGTTTGAGTGTTGTGTTTAATTGTTCATGGTTGATCAATATATTGATATCAACATCAATGTGCGTTTTCGTATGTTCGTGTTCTATGTACTTATTTATTAAATGAGGACCTTCATATACGAAGGTGAATAACGAAGCCTTGTACGGCCTGAAGATGGTTCCCTGTGAATTGAAACTATATTTGCCACAAGCAGCATTTTGGATAACTGAATGCAGGTATTTGAACCATTATAAATATTCAGACGTAATCAGGAGGCTGACAACTATTGAAAATACAATCAGATAACCTAAATATATGTTTATATTTTATCTCCTGCTATTGTGGTGAGATTGTGAATGTCTTCTGCGGTTGTGGTGAAACGTGAACCTGTGATTACGGTGAAATTGTGAACATCTCCTACCATCCTGGCGACATTGTATTTGCTTAGTAATAATAATAATATATCTTTATTGTCGTTTGGTAATATAAACATTACAATAGACAAGGTCAACATGTTTTGTTATGTTACATAAAATACTAAATATTCTACAGAAAATGTTAAAATAAAGTTAAAAGAATCTTAAAAGGATAAAGCATCAGTAATAATAAAAACTTTGAAATTAACAGGGAAAAGACCATAACACGAACAAAGAATCATCAAGACTGCTTGGCCTCACATGTAAGCGTTGAAAAATCTTCATTCTGCAAAAACTCCTCAACTGAATAAAAAGCACGACTTGTAAGCCAATCTGATAATTTTGACCTATACAAATGAATACTTTCCTGATTTCTAAAATATATTGGAAGTTTATTAAATAGTTTTATTTGCAAATATTTATAACTTTTGATAACCTGGCTTGAGGAATATATAAATCTTTTGATTGTCTGGTGATATACCCATGGATTGAGTTGCAAGGAACAAATTTATTCAGATTCTCTTTAACGGAAACTAAATTGTAAAAAATGAAAATATTAGAGTGTCATGATTTTATTTTCAGCAAAAAATGCTTTGCAACTAACCCTATCTGGAATTTCAAACATAATTCTGAGAGCCTTCTTTTGCCATGTAAAGACCCGGTGAGCTCCTGAGCTATTACCCCACAGTATATTGCCATACAGCAAGTGTGAGTGAAATAAACTGTGGTAAACAATTAGAAGTGTTGGTTTAGAAACACAATTTTTAAGTTTTCTTATCAAACAACATACTCTTGACAATTTTGAAATGATATTATTGGTATGTATTTCCCAAGTGAGTTTAGAGTCTATGGATATTCCGAGTAGTTTGACAGAAACTGCATTGTCTGCTTCAAGATTACGCAAAGTAAAACAAATTTTTTCTGTTTTATCATGATTTATTTCCAGAAAATTACTTTCAAACCATAGCTTACCCAATTCAATGGCGTTTTCTATACTTTGGTTTGCAGAGTAAAAGTTGTCAGCTGATGAGATGAAGGTTGTGTCGTCAGCATATAAAATTGTTTTGCAAGGTATGGAGTTTGGCAAATCATTAATATAGAGAATAAACAAAACCGGACCCAGTACCGACCCTTGAGGAACCCCAGCAAGGACCTCCTTAAAATTTGACCTATCTTTTCCTAAATTAACAAATTGTAGTCTTCCACAGAGGTATGATTTAAAAAAATTTAGTTCGTGCTCCATTATTCCATAAAATTCTAATTTCTGCAAAAGAATTGTATGTAAGACCGAATCGAAGGCCTTACTGAGGTCTAAAAGTGCCACACTAAGATAACCACCAGATTCAAAACTATCCAAAATATCAGACACCACCGATTCTATAGCCAAAGTAGTTGAACGACCCGGTCTGAAACCAAATTGGTTATTGTTTAAAATATTATTTAAGTTAAGAAAATCAAAGATCTGGGCTTTAGCACAGGATTCAACTATTTTTGATAACACTGGAACCATTGAAATTGGTCTATAATTTGAATTAAGAAATTTATCTCCCTTCTTATAAAGAGGGATTGTTTTACTGATTTTTAAGCAATTTGGAAAGGTTGAAGTAGAAAACACCAAATTAACAAGATGAATCAGTGGTTCCATAATGTAAGGAGCTATGAATTTTACAATTTTGTTTGAAAAACCGTAAGTATCTTCACTGTTTGATGGATTAAGAGATCTTATTATTTTTTTCATATCATTCTCTGTTACCAATTTCCACGAAAATTTATTTCTAGAACGATTAGCGTTATTTAGAAAATTAGAGAAATCCAAACTCCTACCTTGCTCAACATGAGCCTTCTCTACCACCTTTTTTCCAACATCTATGTAATGGTTATTAAAATCATCTGCTGAAAAAGGTGGAACGGTATTATTATGTTTGAAAAAATCCCCACTTTCTGATTTTACTATTTGCCAAGCAGCCTTACATGTATTCCTTGAACTGCTAACAAATTTCTCATTATAATTAATCTTAGCCGCTTTAATCATAGTCCTATATTTTTTCCTATAAACTGACAGAGTTCTCTTTAAATCATCATGGCTTGCTAAATTAGGCATTTTTGTTAAATCTGCAAGAAAAATAACAGTATCTTGCATTTTCCTTAGAGATTCATCAAACCATTTATTCTTTAATTTACTCTTATAATCATGCCTGATTTTCTTAGATATTCTAGGACAGTTCAAATTGAAATAATAAACAATAGTATTTAAGAAATATTCAAAAGCAGTGTTTACATCTAGAGTATGAAAAATAGGCTCCCAATTCGCATTACACAAGCTCAATGCTAACATGCCAAGGTTCTCCTCATTAAGTTTACGAAAAGAAATTTCTTTGAGTACATTTGGTGCTATATTTTTAATTATAAGTTTAAAAAACAAAATGGGATGATCAGATATTTTATAATCCCACACCTTATGAGTGAATTGATGTTGATCAATATTTGTTGCGATATTATCAATACATTTATCCCCTTTGGTCGGGTATTTAAAAACATGATATAAGTTGAAAGATTTTAAAATACTTTTAAGCGATTCAGTACAATTGTCAGTTTTTAAAAAGTCAATATTAAAATCAGCTCCTAGTACAATTTTGCTAGAAGGTTTTTTTGACAGAACGAATGATAAAAGTTTTTCTAGATGATGAAAAAAAACATTACAATCTGAAACAGGCGTTCTGTATAGAGAAATGAAAACAATATCAAATTCATCAACATAAATACATGCAGCTTCAAAAAGGCTTGTGTACACAAAATGAGAAATATCAATCACATCATACATAAGTCCCTCACTAACCAATATAGACGCACCTCCATGGGGGTCATCCTGCCTGCAAAAAGATGCTGCAAGGGAAAAGCTTTTTGGTATATACAAATCTATTTCTTTTTTAACCAACCAATGTTCGTTTATGAGTACAATATTGCATTTTGATTCCTCCAAAACTATTGCCAATTCAGGTAACTTATTTCTTAAAGACCGAACGTTAATATGAATTACATTTAAATTAATATCTTTTAAATTATTTAAAGCTGCTCCCTTTGCAGAAGAGGATGCCCCATTGGAGTTGCCTCTAAAAAAGAGGTGCTACAGATATTCACATTAGAAGCACTCACACTGGCACTCACACTAATTTTGGCCTTTTCACTATTCTTCCCACACTGTGACACTGCTGCTGGAGGTGGTAGGGGGGCAGATGAAGTTGACAGACTAGTAGTTACATGAGGTACAGGCGAGCTGGACGCCTGTAGTTGGCATACTAGAGCAGGTCCGACTGGAGAGGGAGCGTCTTGTTCGTTGAGAGTAGGAGATTTTGTGCTACTTGGAGCAGTTGAGTGGTGCAGTGGTAGAGGTGGGTATTCTTTTACTGACTGAATATTCGGTGTAGCCAGCTTAGTTGCGAGGTTGTTGGAAGCAAGAGAATGTGATGAGGAAATCAGTTTCTTAATGCAGTCCACAAATCCTTTAAAAGACATTCCATTTCTGAGCGTTTCTGTGGTAATTTCATCGAGGGTAACAATTATGATTGAAGCTGAAGTGTTCTTTTGGAAATTAAGTAAATTTTTCATAAAATGGTGAGGTGAAACTCGGTCTCTAATACATCCCATGGGGGAGCAGATTAGTGTTTCCAGATTGTTTTTCTTAAAATGGTTTGTTAGTTGTTCGAAAGCCGAGTCATAGTAGAGTGTATAGTTCTGTAGGTTTGTAGACTTCTGGTAAAACTTTTCCTTAGTTACCAAGCTGTATATTGTTGCACCTTGTTTGGATTTCTGGAATGTCAAGTTTCCTCCACAATAATCTGATTGGCAGGGTCTACCAAATTTCTCCCTGAATACTGTAGCTACTCCTTTGCTCATATGTTTGGGACAGTTAAAATCAGCAGAAATGCAGTGAGCAAAAGCACAGCTGGCATTACTCGCAAACAAATCAATAACTTCTTTCATATCTGCCTCTATTAGCTGTATGTTGGATTGCTGCTGATTATGTTTAATATCATCGATGGATGTCTTGTTGACTATTTGTTTAGTGTTATCTTTAATACACTGTAACAACAAACGAGCAACCTCCCTTTTACCTCTGTAACTCAAATGCAACCCATGAGCTGTATGGTGAGTTCTTTTTAGTAAATGTGTGTCAAATATGTAGATGTTATTCATACGGGCCGCCAATTCCTGAATGTAGTTATTGAGAATTTTAACCTCTGTATGCACTAGGTCATTAGGTCCAGCATCATGTCTCTGGGGGACTGTGCAAAACAAAATGGTTTTGTTTTTATCAAACTTTTTTAATTTGTCCTCAAGGCTCTTAAATATTTCTTTAGTTGAACCATCAAAAGTGTTGTTTGTTCCTCCCATAATAGCAACAAATTTACTTTTCTGTTTCAATGCCACATCAACAACATGCAAGAGGCCTGTATTTGGCATTACGATTCCTGTTGAACCAATCTAACAGGAATCATACCTTGCTTCCCAAGGTAATGGTAACATTATCATCGTCTAAGACAATTGCAGCAAAATCGGGAATGTTTTTGCACAATTTACACAGACGCTTTCTGCAATTGAAAACCAAGCCTTTCGCACACCAAAATAAATAACCATGCAAAAAACGACCGGGACAACTGTTTGTCCGACTCCTTCTTAATTATCAGACGGATCAAGTGTCAATCCTTTACAGATAGACTTGAAGTCCCGGAGGGTTGAGACCGTGGTGGGGGATGGTATCCAGGGTGAAGACAGACTTGGGGGCAAGGAGGGGAGAGCACAAAGGATATCTTCCCCCTGGGACTTGGTCCGAGTGTCCCCGGACATCCTGCTCATAGCCATGGCCGGGAGTCACCAGCTCTGGGCTTACTACTTGAATGACACTGTGTGGTGGAAGAATAAGTGAGTTTAGCAGTGTATATGATTTTTTTTAAATTTATGCCTCAGAACTTTTCATGTTACTTTAGGCTAGACCTAGAGGGTCGTTATCACTATAAAATTCATTGTTGATTGGCAGGATTTGAACCTATGACCTTGTGCACCACGCTCTACCACTAGACCAGCTCCTTCCCCTACTTGTTGACATTGTATGAGAAATTAGGGTCCTACGTAGCTATAATCATTGACTTTAAAGTCCTCAAAACTACCTTAAAGACCATTCCTTACATGTGAGTAAACATGCGCTTCTTTTTCATACAATCACTCGTATATGCATCCGCTATTTTTAGGTATATTTATAATAATGTGTTAGTATGATTTTAGTTATGGTTTTTAGTTTATGTGAATCAACAGGATTTTTCAACATCATTAATTTAAAGCGATACACACCTATGTACCTTTATTTAAGCTGAACATGAATATTAGGTGAAGTCAGAATGGAGTGAGATGATCTGTGTGCTTTGGTGACTTAAGATCAGCTGTTTGCATAGCAAGGACTATTAGTTTAAAGTCCAATGACGTCCGTTGGCCGTTGGTTTTTAGTTTATGTGAATCACCAGGATTTTTCTATATCATTAATTTAAAGCGATACGCAACTATGTATCTTTTTTAAGCTTAACATGAATATTAGGTGAAGTCAGAATGGAGTGAGATGATCTGTGTGCTTTGGTGACTTAAGATCAGCTGTTTGCATAGCAAGGACTATTAGTTTAAAGTCCAATGGCCAAGTATGCATAATGTTTAATGTTTTTTCAGTTTTTACATAATAACCAACTATTAAGCTACTCTTTGTGAGCAGACAATGCAAGGCCGGTGTGTGCGAAGCGGTTGTTGGCAGCGGCAAAGAAGAGAACCGCAACAACAGTTACCCAATGAGAGCAGGCCTAGCGCAGCCCAGCGGTTTGACAGTGGCGAACTGTCGACAGAGTGCGTACGTGGCGGACAGTGAGAGTTCGACAGTGCGAGCTGTCAACATTGTCGATGGAAAGGTCACCAACGTGGTTGGTGGAAGTGCGGACCCTCAGGTAGCCAACACTTCTTGTCACATTTTTCCCATATAAAAACCTATAACATTTCACAAAAATGTTCAGCTAGAGACTACACCAGTGACCCAATTTTAAGCACTGAGGTTTCTTGGTACTAATCCGAAGTATAACTAATAGACGTTTTACATTTTTTACTCATGAAACTTGTAGGATGTTCTATTTTAATGTCAAGCTGATGGGAAAAATTATGTGTCAGTCTCCTCATATTGTTTATTGATGTTTTTCTTTGGTTGTCACCAAAATTCAACCAACCTTTTGCCGAGTAGCTCTCTTGAACCGGCCGTAGCGTAACAGCCCAAAAATGGATGGGTGCGGAGCACGGTGCATTCATGTATTGAGAAATTGAAGAAACATGGATCAATGATTACGCCCTGCTCAGATGAAGCGTAGTGAGACAAGGAACCTTATTGCAATGACCAACCCCTTACCAACAGTTTATTTCATCTAATAACCTTAATCTGTTGTAGAACTTGTTTGCGTTTGGTGACAAGGAAGGGTGTGGAGTAGACGCTAAGCTACAACACCCGTTGGCCGTTGCGTGGAGTGACCACAAACAGCTGTTGTACGTAGCCGACTCCTACAACCATAAGATCAAAGCGATTGATGTGTCCACGCGAAACTGCACCACACTCACGGGACCCGACCTCACAGTTAGTAATATTTATTTTGCCGGACCATAGTCAACAATCCTTTATTTAGGTTTACTTTTTTTTGCTCCTCCCAGTCATAGCCATTTATTATCAAAAGGATTTTTCCATCTCCCTCAATAATAATATAACAACTGATCTAAGCTAAAGGAACTGACACTAAGGCCACAAAACTTTGACTTAATGACGTAAACGTAAACAAACAAATTTCTTTTAATCCAGCGCTGTCCAGATGTTATTGCTGTAGACATTCATTGTTTGCCGCAGAACTGTAGTTAAACATTTTGCACACATACCACACGACTGTATTATACATCCATTAATTTTATATTGTGGTTCTGACTTTTAAATCAAAGAAGATTTCAATACCCATGTGTCCAAACTATGGAAGTCTATTGCACAAGAGAATATTTCTCATTAAAATGGATCATTCAAAAACTGTTGTGCTAACCGTTCAGTAAAAATTAGTTATTAAAATGTTATCTTCTTTAGTTCAATGAGCCTGGTGGACTGTGCACTTCGGAGAACCTCCTATACGTAGCGGACACCAACAACCACTGTATTAAAGTGATCAATCTGGAGGACAACACGGTTAAAAACGTAAGTTTAGTTTATAATGTATGATACAGCTGATCAATTAAATTAGCAAAGAGTAATCAGACATTCATACTATCATTGGTCGTATTATGGTTCTTTTTAACTATCCTACCTATACATCCTAGGACGCTAGGCTCTACCTTATAACTATTTTATACATTACTTCAGACTAGTCCTAGAGGGTTGTGGCATTATCGCGTAGATAATCCATTGGTGGTTGGCCAATTTTGAACCTGGGACTTTGTGGACCGAAGTCCCGTGCTCTACCTCTACACCAGCTCCCAAAGATGGTTCTGTATAACCTCATTAATAATGACTAATCAAGGACCCAAGTCATCCGAATTGATAAATCTGATTTAAATGAAATAGGGAATGATAATAGATTCCACTTTGGAAACTTACGCACATAATCACTGTGGAAAGTTGGATTTTTCAATTTGAAAAATATTTGTAGGTTAAAACCACTCACACATGTCACTCTTTCAGATGGAGTTGAAGTTTGGCAAAGCTGAACCAAAGGAGAAAGCCTTCTCGCCTTCACATGAGAGTTCTGTGTCTCTGTCTGTTAGCGGAGGGCGATTGCAGCTGTCTGTGGTTGTTGGTGTTGCAGCTGGTATTAAACCTCTGAACGAGACTCCGGCTGCCTGGAGCTTATCACTACCTGGTTTGTATAGCATAGATCCAGCAATCGTAAACAATAATACGAGGGCTATTCATAAATTGTGGAACGTTTTCGTCTGACGCCAATAGGCCCAGCAGTTAAAATTCAATGTTATATTCAAAGATGTTTGTACTAACGAGGTTCGACTGTACTACTATCTGCAGGTGTGATGAAAAATTGATTTTTCATTTTCTAGATGATTGGAGCGAGACAGAGTCCGAAGATGGCAAGGACGAACTCAGCAAACATTGGTCTTTATCTTACCCTCCAACTCCTGCGTCTGGCAACGATCGTGTGATCGTACGGTGCAAGCTGTTCTACTGCCACAAAGACGTCTGCGCCGCTAAACAACTTACGTTTCTTGTCAACGTAGCGTTCCAAAATACTGGTCCAGCTGATACGTCTCACAGTATCAATTATCATTTCAGTATTTAGTTCATTATATCAACCAAGTTCAAGTTCTTTTAAACTGAATATTTAACATTATTGCTGGTGATTATGTTTGTCACTACACTTCCTTATAAGTAGGAGTGTGAAATGAAAGTGCAGTTACATTTTAACCAAAGCTGTTTGTAAAATATCAAAGATTAACTACGCTGATAATCCACATTATTTTTAACTAATTTTAATGGTATGTATTAGATTAGAGTTTTTTTTGCATTTAACACAGTTGTGATAACCCAAATGCCTTTAACGTTTCAGTATTGCTTATTATATTATTGTTGAAAATATATTTTTGTTACCGACTACGTTTCATTATTCTTTGTGATATACCTTGCCAACCTTACCTTTCAGTTATTTTCAAGCAATAAAATTTCAAACAGTGTTTCCTGTAAAAAATTTACATTACTAATTTATAAGTTATATTTACTTTCTTTGTCAGTCTTGTTGTCCAGAGTTATCCGTCCTGTCCTATCTAGCATCTACCACCAGTGGCGTTCTAGGACCTAGCCAGGGGGGGGGGGCATGGGAGGTATGGAGCACCCCCCTAATAAAGGAGGGGGGTCCGGGGGAGGGCGAATGTGGAAATTTCAAAGCCATTTGGTGACTTTCTAAAGCTATTTTTAACACGTTTTTAGCGAATTTCCCATATAGGGAATAAGCTATTTGGACCCGGGACCGATTTACTTTTTCGTTTTGAGGTCCTTAGAGGCCAAAAACACCATCCGTTAAAATTCATATATATATATATATATGTGTCCGTTAGCACGATAACTCCAACAAAAATTATCCGGTTTTGATGAAATTTGGTATAAACTTGTAAACCTACATGTATTCGAACGAATTCTTGAACCAGCATGATCGGACCAAGGGAACAGGGGTTTAAGGGTGGTTTTATGGGTTAAAAAAGGGTTTTTCCCATTTTTGACCCTAAAAACATAAAATTTTGGAATTTCTTTCCCAACCATTTTGTAGAGCTTTAAAAAATAATTTAGTATATTGAAGCATTGTTGTATGCCTAATATTTACGGAGAAAATTCAAAAAATGCAAATTTAAAATTCCCATGTTATTCTTATGGAGAAAATGAAAACTGTTGTAGTTTACTTGTTTATGGATATATGTTGATCAAATTTGGCAAACTTATTTATTTCATCCTATACTATTGACGTTTGGTCAAAAAATACTGTTTACCTTCCCCGTAGCACCAAACCTAAGCACTCGTTAAATCTAAAGTTATTTAAATTGGGAATAAATATGTCTTATTTATGGAAGTATTTGAGTAAACATGTAATCAGACAAGTTGAAATTCGCTTAGTCTGCAGGTTTGCTGCGGCGGGGGTATTTAACCTTACGTTTTTCTCCATTTCATAGATCATGTCACAATATGTATAGTATCAAATTCAGTAATAGCATTGACTATATAAACTTAAACACTAGTGTTTATGTAGTCAATGAGGCTACTGGTGCTACTGCTTATGGGTGATGCCTGTGTAAGTTAGTAGCTTGCAGACAATTTAAAAACTAGGGACATGAAATTAGCAGTTTCCCTGTCCTCGCGTCAGCTGGCTGACCGTTGTAAAAATTGGATGATGCTTGCATAGCGTAATATTGTTTAATTCATCGTGCTATATTGCCCCACAAAGTTTATCTATGTGAAACTTAATACTACTCCTGCCATCGCTTATTTTGTTTAATAAAAACTATATTATCTCTGTTTTATAACATTGCGTGTTTTAAGGACGAAATGTATGTTTAAATTAATTTTTCCAGGGTCCAAGGGGGGGGGGGCTCTAGCCCCTGTAGCCCCCCCCCCTTGGAACCGCCACTGTCTATCAAACTGGTAGGTATAATGTGGAGATTTCCAAGAGCTATCCGATTTCATCCCTATTTATCTGCAAATATTTTCTTACCTAATGAAAATTTTATAATGTATTAAATACGATATTTTTACTTTTTATGCTAACTTGTGTTAACATATGTGCAGATTGGCGGTTAGTTGTGCATGAGAGTAAAACAAGTAGGGTACTTTCTCCCTGACTGGGCCTCTATGTAAAATCTTGTAAAAATAAATTAATTACAAGAAGGGACCCGTGTGCGAATTGTGTGGTTTAATAGGGTCCAAAACTTGTTTCTGAGGCATAATGAATCCAGCGCAATATACCCATTTACCTTTTCAAGATGTTTGTTTGTTTAGGTTTAGAACAGTTACTTAGGTGACTGACTAATACTACTAATCTATACGTTATTATAAAATACTATGGGAAGGGAGAGAAACAGGTCCACGACGTAGGAAGTGGTGAAGGTAAAGGCGAGCTGTGCAGAGTGTAGGAACTGATCAGTGATATTTATATCTAAAAAACAACAAGCCATAAAAACTCAGGAATTGGCATGGAGGTTCCAATCAACCTCTAAGTGTGGACTAAGAAGCGTTTTCTAGAAGTTCTATCAGGGCTCGGCCCCAGTGGCTTTCAAAGTTCCTATGTCATCCTTATGGAGAAAATATTTGTTTACATTTGACCACACGAATACTTTTGAATCTGCACTATTAATTAAGGGAACAGCTGGTTATATTTTATTTGACATAAAAAGAAAATATTTACATTAGTCACCCGACAAAGTTGGCTTCCTTGTATTGCTTATGGTACAGAAAGCTGCTAATTGCTGCATACTTTGTCGTGCAGTTTATACTTTGGCGCACATCAGGATTCCAACAAAACAACACAAAACAGCGTGGTTCTATTATGCACGTAATCCGTGTACGCTTGGAAATAGTTTGGCAACACTTAAAAATATTAATATGTACTATGAGCAGCTGATTGACTATTATAACTACGATGTAACCTGTCATTTCGTGTTTATAGTTTCGGTATTTCTGAACTTTTCTTTTAAACGTTTTTAAAACATTCCTACGATCATAATAAACAAGAAAATACCTTTCAAGGATTTTTTTAGGCGAGGAAACCTCTTCAAATTACAAAAACATAAGGAACTATTTTCTCATGTCATGGAGCACATTGCTTGCCGAGGAAAAAATAGCAGAGTGATACGGACCGGTGACTACTTTCTCTAGGGCACCTATTTGTGTTGCCAGCTGAACCTAAAAACGTGTTGTATATTGTTTGAAAGACTAATTATTTATACGCTTTATAGTGACTGTAGGAAAAATATAATGTGTAACTTGAGTGCAAAAGGCCTTTGCTGCACTCGAGATCATTCCGCATTTGCTCTCGTGTGCAGCAAAGTGCCACTTTGCTCACTAGTTACACAAATAACTATTTCCTGCACAACAGATTTTCAATAGTTAAATAATAAATAAAACATACTCCCTTAGTAGATATCCTATCCTTGTGAAACAGCTGAAGCCAATTTTATTGTTAGTTCTGTCCGTGCACTGCAGATGTCATGTTTGGTTTACAATTTGTTTCTTGTTATTTCAGTAATTTGAAACCTCGTTTAAATACTGTAATCATAAACATTGACTCATCCTCTAGTGATATAACAGTAAACTAACTAGCTATATAATCATGAAATTACCCCTAAAATAAAAGAAACAAAATTTCGTCGACACTAGTAATCAGTGTCACCTGACATGAACTAGACACGAAAAACGAACTTCAAAATTTACAATGGGATGAGAAGTCTAATTGTGTAGGTTAGTCAATGGTTAAATGAATTAAAAAATCAAGAAGTGTATGCCCTACTCAGGTTGGACATTTAACTTTTTAATTTTCGTGAGCGAAGCCACGCCGGGTTCACTAGTTTACAATAAATTTGTTGATTAGAGTGATTTACCTACCTTTTTCATGTCAGAGTAAAAAATTTGCCTATAAGTAGTTTTCATCACTGTGAGCACAAGTGGTTCTTTTTTGGACGCAGTCATGTTTTTTTTTTTTTTATTTGATTTACAGAGTACGTAACAAAGTATGTAAAGGTATTGTGTACTTGCGTACTTGTACAGCATTTTTACTATGGTATTATGTATTATTATTGTACTCTTTAAAACCCTCGCTAATAAATTTAAAATCTAAATACAAGCACTTGTCATTGGGAAAAAATATTTAGTTGATTGTGTAAAAATTTGCACTGATTGTGTGATAACTCACCAATCCTTATATATAATACGTGAAGGTGATTTCTACGAAACACTACTCCTCCGTTAATAATGGACGGATTTTTACAAACGATGTGACAAAATTAAGTATTTCTTGTTTAGATGCCCCCTTTCACCAATTCTTATAATATAAGTAAGTCGACTCTACTAAGTCATCCAAAATTATGACTGTTTTTCGTCTTGAAATAACGCCTGTGATACTGTAATACTTCGCAATTGCTCGAATTCGAGCAACAGATGCACTAGTATCAGTAAATTGAATTGTATCTGATTCTATTTTCCCGCAAGTTTGTTGTGCTATGAGGTTCAGAAAACTGCTTGCGTGTGCATGATTAACTGTTATTACTGTGAATCCTTAGATGTCCCAGGATGCTGAGACTATAAGATCATGTTTCCTCAGCAGTTTGCTGTCAAGTCAATTAATTTAATTTCCATGGCCATACATACATTAAGTTTAAACAGAAGCCAATAAGGCTTCTAATATTTTTTAATTCAGTGATTTGTGTTCCTAATTTTGGCCATTTCAGAGTTTATTGCTGGCTGAAATCTAGTAATTACTGAAATTATCTTCTTAACCAGAAACTTGAAAACTGCTACATGTTTTCTTTTTCATTAATATTTTTAAATAAGGCAATTGATCAAATAATTATAGGCTATTATATATATATATTTTTTTACTTTTGTGGGAATTTAGTTTTGTCAGAAATAAATTTCCAAGCATCTTGTAGACCCAAACCACATTTTTCAAATACCCAGAAGCAAACAAAAACAAATAGGCCTACCGTACAATAAATGAAGTCTGAAACAATATGATCAGAAATAGATGCCTACATTTTATTCTTGACAAGTCAATAGTCAATTGACAATGCTACTTCGTGATAATGGACAAATTACTCACCACAACTACTTGAATTGAAATTACCAACACTTAGTTTTATAAAAGGGTAATAAACAACTACATGCTGCTGCTCAAAACAATTTAATAAATATTGCATATAGGAAATAATTACTTTGGTAAAAAAATGTATAAAAAAAGTAGAAAAAATATGACTAAATGGGCAGAATATAACTTAACGGAGGAGCAGCATCGACAGCGTGTGGAGAGCTTAGTACTCCTCAGCACCCTCGCCTTCTCCCTCGACTGAGTCCATGCCAACTTCCTCGTAGTCCTTCTCAAGGGCAGCCAAGTCCTCACGGGCCTCGCTGAACTCTCCCTCCTCCATACCCTCACCGACGTACCAGTGGACGAAGGCGCGTTTGGCGTACATCAGGTCGAACTTGTGGTCCAGACGAGCCCAGGCCTCGGCGATAGCCGTGGTGTTGGACAACATGCAGACGGCTCTCTGCACCTTGGCCAAGTCACCGCCGGGCACAACGGTGGGAGGCTGGTAGTTGATACCAACCTTGAACCCTGTGGGACACCAGTCCACAAACTGGATGGTCCTCTTGGTCTTGATGGTGGCGATGGCTGCGTTGACGTCCTTGGGCACAACGTCTCCTCGGTACAACATACAACACGCCATGTACTTGCCGTGACGGGGGTCGCACTTCACCATCTGGTTAGCGGGCTCGAAGCAGGCGTTGGTGATCTCGGCTACAGAGAGTTGTTCATGGTAAGCCTTCTCAGCGGAAATGACCGGAGCGTAAGTGACCAGAGGGAAATGGATACGAGGGTAAGGCACCAAGTTGGTTTGGAACTCAGTCAGATCGACGTTGAGGGCTCCGTCGAACCTGAGGGAAGCAGTGATGGAGGAGACGATTTGGCCGATGAGTCGGTTGAGGTTGGTGTAGGTCGGGCGCTCAATGTCCAAGTTACGGCGGCAGATGTCATAGATAGCTTCGTTGTCAACCATGAAGGCGCAGTCAGAGTGTTCCAGAGTCGTGTGAGTGGTCAGGATGGAGTTGTAGGGCTCAACAACAGCGGTGGATACCTGAAATCGCATTATGCCATTAATATAAAGTTAAATGTATAGTCTTTCATTTCATTCTAAGCGGGATTGACTGTAAAAGTTATTACTGTATATATATTTATTATGATAGCAGGCTTTAATGGTAAAGAATCAAATCCAGGACAAGAAAAATTTAGATACTTCGGGAACACTTTCACAAAACATTAGAATATATCACTGTCACTGACAGCATTTTCAACCGAGGAATGTGTGAGTTCAAGAGAGTTCTCCAACTATGTGCTATTAACACAAAGTGTAAAGAATGTGTTTCTCGTGCCATTTAGGACTCGTTCACATTTAGGTTAGCCAACTTTCCTCACAAAAAAATCCTAAGTTAATTTATGGGTTTTCATATTTACAGAGAAACCATCATCAATCAATAGTTCATATTAATTGAATCTGAAAAGTTATCATAAATCAGCATACAAAAAATTTCTAAGGTCCAAGAGTGAAAGAAAATGTAAACACTACAATGTAATCCTTTTTTTAGTTCTTTAAAACACGCACCTGAGGGGCAGGGTAGATGGCGAACTCGAGCTTGCTCTTCTTTCCGTAGTCGACAGACAGTCTTTCCATGAGCAGAGAGGTGAAGCCAGAGCCAGTGCCACCACCGAAGGAGTGGAAGATGAGGAATCCCTGAAGTCCAGTACATTGGTCAGCCAACTTCCTAATCCTGTCCAGAACCAAGTCAACGATTTCCTTTCCAATGGTGTAGTGGCCTCTAGCATAGTTATTGGCAGCGTCTTCCTTTCCAGTGATGAGTTGTTCAGGGTGGAAGAGTTGTCTGTATGTACCAGTTCGCACCTCGTCTGGAAATGACATCATAACATTTTTACTATTCAATTTTAAATAAGTTGTAAACACATAATAGCCTAAAAGACTTTGCTTAGATGTTGACATTGGTACATCGCTCACTTTGCAGAATATATCGATGTATTGATCCATTTAAGTAGTAGCCTATAACAATATTTATCCATCCATGGACACAACAACTCACTTGAAAAGGAATAGGTCAACCAACATATCGAGATCTGTTGAAATTTGTTTTGTATGGAAAGAAATCACCAACATGGAAACCACAGCACTAGCAAATTTAGGGGTTATTCCATTAGACCTACAATTAACAAACAAGTCGATAAAATAAACCGTAGCCTACATTTTGGGACAAGCCATAAAATATATGTATATTGGTTATGACGTTGGTCCTGTGAAATCAGACCACGCATTAACTATAACACCGGTTGTTGACAAAAAATCCTTCCTTAGTCAACCTCAGGTGACACTGGTGGTAAAGGAGTTTTTAATATGTCGGTATCGAACGTATTAATAAACTATCCTACAGTGTGCTTTCCTAAGTTATCCACTAATAGACCTTCAGAACAATCAAAAGCTTAAGAATAGGACTAGTGGTCGAAGAAAGTTTCTTAATCCCTCACCTACTACTGTCGGCTCCAAGTCAACAAAAACTGCCCTAGGAACATGTTTGCCAGCGCCGGTTTCGCTGAAGAAGGTGTTAAAGCTGTCGTCTCCGCCACCGATGGTCTTGTCGGATGGCATCTGACCGTCAGGCTGGATGCCGTGCTCAAGGCAGTAGAGCTCCCAGCAGGCATTTCCAATCTGGACTCCAGCTTGGCCGACGTGGATAGAGATACACTCACGCTGTGGAAAAACAAAACAATCATTATAGCCTGTGACAACAGTTAAAATCAATTTCTATAAATAAGTAGGCCTAAAGCTTAACCCTTTATTGTACAGTTTTAGAATAAATATTTAGGTAAAAATAAAATAAATTAGTCAAAGATAAATTTTTGGTATAGGCCTAACCTTACTTAGGTTAGCCTATAAGTTTATGCGAAAATGGGATATTAAGTTAGAAGGAATTTTAAGCGATCGCACTGTGTAGTTGACAATTGTAGGAGGCCTAGTTGTATTGACAAAGAGTACAGTGTAGGGTATCGATGCAAATAGACTGACTTTGTTGGCCTCCGGAGGATTTTAACTTTAACGACTTCCTCTAGAACAAAATTTGATATCTTGACATCCTGATTAAGTTCCTATAGGGAACGAAACTGCAGTAGCCTAAACTTATAGACTACAAAGGCTCAGTTTGACAGTACAAGGTATTTCAACCATTATTTTTTAAATAGACTGAGTGGACTCAAAAGCTTTAAATATTCAAGAGAAATTTAAGTCACTAATACAGAGGTCGTTTCTGTTCTCAAAAAATCGTCTAGACGTCTGGATTTTTTATTTGTAGGCCTACATCAAGTTAACTTAAACTTACCGGTATTTAGGCTTAATTTGTTTTCTAATTAAGTTATATTTACACAACCAAATAAATATTGTCCTTGGATAAAACATGTAGGATTCCTAACTTACGTTAGTTGGTTTTCACGGTTCTTTCCATTTAATTCTGTTTGATATGGCAAAATATATATATTGGTAAATATTGACATTTGACAAGATTTGAAATGGTTGCCTACAGTAAGTTTGGTAAGTTAATACGTTGGGTTAGTTTATAAAAGTTACATTTCTTAATCCGTATAGGCCTATATTAACTTATTTTTGCCTAAACAAGATCAATTGTCAATTTGTAATTTACAGGTAAATGCGTTTAAAGATTAAAACAGAAGGAATAGCCTATGGATTGTAGAGGAAATCAAATATATCGATAGGCCTACATGAAAAAAATCATCGATAACTTAGTAAGTTATTGAATGTTCCCTTTTTACAGGAAAGTACAAGTAACTTACCATTGTTGCTTAACTTACTAAATGACTTAACCGCAATGTAAGTTTAATATCGAAGTCCTGGAGTATAATTGGCCTAATAAATACTATTATACAAAAAAAAATAAAGCCTTATTAAGTTTACTGGTCATTACAGTCAGAGGCATTTCGGGGGGGGGGGGGGGGGTTGTACCCCATTGACCTTAAAACATATTTTTTACAATTAAAAATGTTTTTCTACGATTAAGTTAAAAAATCTCTTTTAATGCCTATAAATAGCCTAAGCGACGCGAGTTTATTTTAAAAAATTTTCCTCCCAGACAGGTGAGTTACGCCTATGATTCAGTGTTTCCATACGCAGGATTATTATCTCGAAAACGGGAGTTTAAGACTATGAGCGGGATTAAAACAAGATGTAGGATAAAACGGGATTATTGGCTTCAACTTCTGTTTTTAGGCTTTATTTTTATCTTTAATTTATAAGAAAAACTAACTTAACTTACCTAAGTATGTTAAACACGTTCGCGGCGGCATGGGAGCGGTCGCTCCCATGCGGAACCCTAATACCATCCTGGTGGGTGCGATCGCTCCCAAGCTACAATGCAGTACGAAATGATTTATTTTTAAGCCAGGATCAGAGCTAGAAACTTGAAACCTCGCACAGCACTGCTCAATAGTATACTGTATTTTGTTGTGGTGTAGGTTGGTAGTAAATTTTCCCGTAAAATCCCCGTCTGGCAATCTCAAAAATCTACTTTTTGTCCCGTCTTTTTCCCTCCATTTGGCAATACAATTCCAATGGGACCGGCTACGTTCCAGGCAGTGCTACTATCTGTGGGTGTTTAGCAAACTACGTCTACTCTCGATGTAAAGCAGGACATCCTCGCACGTTATTTGCTATTCGTCAGACCGAAATTGGAAACGCGGCAATCGGGTTCATTCGACACTGAGGGCCACGCCGCACTGGGGATACACCCGCCATTTGACGTGCCGCCGCGAACGTGTTAAAAAACTACTTAGACCTGATAGGCTAAGTCAAGTTATGTCAAAAGTAACACTCAGGATTGAACAAAAAAATCAAGCGGGATAAAACGGGACTTCTCGTTTCTCATTACCGGTAACCTACATTACAGTAACTTAAGTCTTACTCAAAAGCAGTATAAAACGAGATTTCTGGACTCAGGCAGGCGTGATATTTTTTTTTTTTTTTTTTGTGGGTAAGTACACTGCTATGATAACAGGTCATTATGAACACAGTTGATAGCCAAGGCCTTCTAGAGAGCCCCCCCACCCCAAACCAAAAGCCTGCGTGAATGGGGCTGTTCAAATTTCTCACTTGAAAACTTGGATTGCAGTTGTAGGTATAGGATTACAAAGGTAACAATGAACAGGTACCAAACCGTGAGTAAAATAAAACCTATAGTAGGCCTAACTTAGGCTTAACCACAATCCTAATTCCTAACCAAACTAATGGCCAGCGCCACGAGGTCTCTGAACAAAGCGACCCACATTGTAAGATGTTACAAAAAAGGTTGAAGGTTGTCTCTACATAAAAAACGAGTAGAGAAGCGTTTTGTCTTCAGCTCACGTCAATTATAAAATAGTCATTACGCTAGAGTTATACTAGGTATACTAGGTATACCTAGTAAAGCTGACCTAAGCCTTAGACTACTCCCAGTGAGGATCGCGAAACACGAGGCCATTATTTTCCATTCTCTTAATAAAACATCTTAGAAAGATTACAACACTACAAAAACCGGGAATTTTCAATTAGAATAATATAATCAAGCAAAACACTTACCATTTTGAGTAATAAGTTATAATACTGCACACAAAAAATAGGTTGAAATCACAAAGTGTTGATGGACAGGCCGAGTAATGGGGCTTCTCCACACAAACTATAACCGTTGCGGCGCTGCAGCGGCTTTTATAACTTCACAACGGGTCGATGGTAGGAGGCTTCCTATTGGCCGAAAGTGGGCGACGCGCCACGTCACGGCGGCGACGGGCGCGGCCCGCACAGGAAACAGACGATCTATGCTATTGGTGCATTTGAAATATTTCCAGTAGTCTGCATAGTAACGTCGGTTGAATTGAATATTTGAATAAAAATTCGGTTTCTATTGATCTGTGTTCTTTATTGCGCAATATTTAATTTGCTACTTTGTTTTTCATTAATTTTAGTCATTCTGTCTAAATAGCGACTAATGTTGCAGTTTTTATTGCTCGAATTAAAAACTGTACGCCTAATTTAAATGTAGTTATACCAGAAAAGTCGTTAGCTTTCAAACAATCCTTCAAATCAACCCCCTCTTATAAACAAACCACAAACCTCACTTGTACCATCAATGGAATAACTGAAAATCAAGACGTTTTCGAAAAGGCTTCCCATAAAAAACATGTTTTTTTTACTAAATAAGTCCTCGTTGTTCTTACAAACCTATAGATTTTTACTTTGTTTCAATAAGCTTAATAATAAAAATTGTGAAAATCTGAGTTTATAGCTATGTGGATAAAGCTAGTGTTCGCATAGAACTAAAAAAAACACCTTATCGGTAGGTTTTTGTCGGTTCGATCTTGAGAAAAGTCCGAATCTTTTGATGGTTCGAAACTGGACCCAGCTGTCATTTTATCTATTGGGTTTTTACAATACAAATGGTCAATGACAATGAACAAGCTGATATTAGTCGGTAACAAATCTGTGATCTCAATCAATCCACTATCATTTAAATATCTTCGTCCTAAAAACAAGCAACCTGGGCCGTCAGCGTGGTAAAAATCTAATTTAAATCTACATACAGTAGGCCTACTTATTCAGCAACAAAATGAAAACGTTATTCATAATGTATCAATACATTTAACATCGTTATATCACAATTAATTGTAAAAAAAAATCAAAGCCTATACGGTATTTTCTTATCATATTAACTTATTATACAATATTTTGTATTTTAATTAAAATAGATAATTTGTAGGATTAGGAAAACGTTGAATAACTGTTCATGGTATACCTTAATCGGTATATACAACTAGGTAAAGTGGGATGTTAAACAGCTGTTATCAACAATGAGTCACCGCAGAATGACGTAACCACCTGAATCATCGACTTGACTCCCCTCCTTTCTTGTATAATCTATAGCTGATAAACCACCACAGCCCTCCTTATCATAAACTTATAGACAGCCACATCCCGTGAGATATCCCAGATAATAGATCAATATGAGAGAGGAATTATTAATGTTAGATATTACTAAATCCCAATTCGTGTCACTAGAGAGATTGTACTGAAAATAAGTGAGTTGAGAATAAATTGTGATTAATGAAACATTTATCAATGGTCAAGGACATCAAGATCCACTTTTGAACCAAACAAATCAACAGACTTTTTCTAAGGATTGAACTGGATAACTTTTGACTACAAGCAGTCGACTATTCCTGATCATTTTTGTTCGCTTAACAGAATTTCTGATATTTTGCCATTTGTCATTAAAAATGATGAACAGTACATGTTTGCGAATTTCTGATATAGGGAATAAGCTATTACCGTAAGGCCGCGGCTCCACTTGCCGTAGATTGCCGCGCTGCAAATTGTAGCTGGTCAGTTGAAGAAATGGGAAGGCTGCGATCAAACGAATGTGGCTCCACTAGCGACAGTCTGCAGCGCGCTACATTTAACGGCGCGCCGTAGAATGTAGCGTCGCGCGGGAATGGAACTCGGACCATTTTCGCGCTACATTTTGCAGCCAACATGTGGCTCCACTAGCTGTAGATTGTAGTGCCGCGCCAAGTCAGTGTACGCACAGCCGACCGGCATATAGGCACAAGACACACGCTACAATCAGTATAGACTTTTTAGTGTCATTAGTTTGTGATTTTTGTAAATTGATTTGTAATCAATGTAGCCTGAACTGGACTGTGAAATTATTATATTATAAGTGGAGAAACACACCGTGCTATACAACAAATCTAAAGAGAATTAAAAAAAATTAATGCCTATATAGAAAAAACCAAATTTGATTAAATGCTAAAAAGCTTAAAACTTTTTTACTGTTCATTAGTCTCAAGTCAACAATAAATAACAAATTAATGTTCAAGTCAACTTACATCACTATAGTAACCATTAAATATCACACTTGACAAAATAGCTCATCCCGTGTCTAACTACAAGGAGTGTCGAACTACCGAGTGTCGAACCTAGTAACCTAGTTAACATTGAGTAGGCCTACACTAAAATTACCTTAATGTCACTGAAAGCCTTTCCTCTACTCCAATTGCTTCTCTTAGTTTGGTATCGTTCTTCTTCAAACGTGTTGATACAGTTTCTATTAAGTAATCAACAGAGTTTTGGGACATTCGATAATATACAAAATACTTGTCTGAATACTTTTGTAGTTTAGTGTTTAATGTGTGGAACATCCCTTCGGACTTTCTGTTGCTTAATATTGGATGGATCCAGCATGATCCTGGCCCACGTCTACCGCGGCGCTACACTAAACTGCTAGTGGAGCCACGGTGCATATGTGAGGACGCTGCAGATTGTAGTTCGTACTCTGCTGCTAGTGGAGCCACCAACTGTAGCGTGTAGCGCGCTACAATTTGCAGCGCGACAGTTTACAGCAAGTGGAGCCGCAGCCTAAGTTTCATGGTAAGACCTAGACCCGGGACCGATTTACTTTTTCGTTTTGAGGTCCCCAGAGGCCAAAAACCATGGTGGAAGTATTTACTTCCACCATGGCCAAAAACACCATCCGTTCAAATTCATATATATGTGTCCGTTAGCGCGATAACTCTAGCAAAATGATCCGATGTTGATTAAATTTTTGTACAAACGTGTAAACCTACGTTTATTCGAACGGGTCCGCGAACCAGCATAATCGGACTATGGGAACGGGGGGTTTATGGGGTGTTTTATAGGGTAAAAACTGATTTTTCCCATTTTTGACCCTAAAAACACAAAATTTCATAATATATCTCCAAACCATTTTGTAGAGCTTAAAAAAGAAATAATTTTGTACATTGAAGCGTTGTTTTATGCCCAACGGTTACACAGATAATAAAATAAATTGTAAATTTAAAATTCACATGTTATTCTTATGGAGAATAAATAAACTGTTGTAGTTTGCTTGTTTATGGATATATTTTATTCAAATTTGGCAATTTTGTTTATTGCATACTAAGCTATCAACATTTCAATAAAAAAAAAACACACCTCAATATCTTCCCCGTAGCAGCAAACCTTACTCACTAAAATTAATGCTATTTAAATAGGAAATAAATATGACAGTTTTAGGGAATATTTTAGTAGAAATTCAGCCGGGTAGATGGAAATTCGCTTAGTCTGCAGGTTTGCTGCGGCGGTGTATTTTTAATTGGATAACGTTTAAAGTGGCTTAAATGCGTTTTCTCAAACAACAAATATATGGTATTTTTGCTAGTGTTTCCTAACTTACACAAAAAAAAAACACCCATCTCCACTGTTAATCGCACTTCCATACTGGCGTAGGGTTTTCTGTGAATTTCAAAGTGGATTAGGAAAAAATCTGTTGTCTATATTGTTGAGCATGTCGATTGTTGTATTGTTAAGCCGCGTTTACACCAAAGTTGACAACCAGGTTTCCGACTAGTTTCGGAAACTTGTTGCTTTTTCTACAAAATGCAGCAACTTTTTCTGTCGTCAACTAGTGGAGCGACAAGTTTTCCACTAAATTTTGGTTTCCCGCGGAGAGTCGGTAAGATCAAAGAGAGTTGACAACAAAAAGTTGAAGACTAGTTGCTGCGCGCTTTGCGCAAGCAACTTGTTGAAAACTAGTGGAGAACTATTCCCCCTCCCATATTGTACACATATTGTAAATGTGTATTATTGAATTATTTTAATTATTATAGGGTAAATGTTAGCTATATTTCTATTTTAATATCTTAATTAGGCCTAATAACTCTGGATGCGTACAGAGCTACAGACCACGCCTGTGGTCTGATTTTGATTAAAATCTGTATGTAGGTACTAATCCATAATATCTCCAGGTATTTCTGAATTTTTTTTGAAATTTTGATTGTTAATGGTGATTTTCCCATAAAAAACGGAAAATTTGATTTTTTCGGAAATGGCCGAAACGACTTTAATTAAGATTTAGTATGTTGTAGCCACCCTTTAAATTCTGAATAAAATAGTATAACTCCCATTCCTGTAAAATTACGGTTCAAATGTTATTGTAACTTAAATCATTTTCCCATAAAACCCCATGAAAAAACCAAATAAATCCGCCGCAGCAAACCTGCAGACTAAGCGAATTTCTATTTGGCTTATTGGATTTCCACTAAAATCTCTCCATAAAAATATCACATTTATGTCCTATTAAGTGCAGCCCCCCTCCAATATTGCTGCAGCCTGATTGCTGTAAAAGTTACGATTCCAAAGTTAATGCGAGTTTGTAATTTTACCTAATAAATATCATACCTACATAGTTACTAAATACCTATTAAATATCATTATTACTCTAAAAAATTATCCATGATAATGGTTGTTTACAAACTAATGGGAGATAGTATGTCTCAGATTGCTGATTCAATAATGTAACTAAAGTGCACATTATTTTCTGTTTATGAATGATTGTGTCTTCTTCTTCCGACGACATCCTTGCCACTACTGTGTAACTGTACTGATCATTTCGCGCCTATTCTTTGGCAACAAGTTTTCCACTAGTTGCTCTAAATTAATGAGGAGCAACATTTAGTTGTCAACTTTTAGTTGTCAACTTTTGGTTGTAAACTTTCGGTTGTCAACTTTTGGTTGTCAACTTTGGTGTAAACGCGGCTTTAAGTGGTCGGCTGCTCGCCGGCATGTTACCGGCGTCGTTCATTTCATTGCATGGTCGGCATGTGAACTATTCACTGATGTGGAATTTGATGGTTGGTAAAAATCAGCTGTCCAAAATCTTGATACGTGAAATAATTCTGCA